AGCTGCACAGTTCTGTTTCAGTGTGACAGTTGCTTCAAAGGCTAAGTGGTTTGTTAACGAATCCATTTGTCATCACTCCAATACACAGTGAACCCTTCTAGGTTCTGACTACATATGTAAAACAAAACTAGTTTGATTCTGAAACCTGAAGTTGTTTTCTCCTCTTAAGCTGGTGGAGTGTGTTCTCTTTTCAAGAGAGGGGTTTTTTCCCCTTCCTTTTTGTCTCTTCAGCACACTGAGGTAGAATTTAACTTTTCTGGTCTCTTAATGTACTGGAAATTGCTTCTGCCTGCTGATGCTATTTGGCAAGTATTATTAGCCCTGAGAGGAAAAGAAAATATTCCTGTCTGTTTCCTTGACCTTTTCATCCTCTTGTTCATCAGCTTTGTTCTTTTTGCTGCTAAGTATAGACAGATTTTCAGCCTGCAAATTCTTACAAGGCCTAGGTGAAAACAAATGAACCCATTAGGCATCAGGTTCAATTATTTCAGAATGGATTTTGTTAAGACAGACTAATGCCTTGTATTGCAGCTACTTATTTTAAGGACAGTTGCAATGCCCCTAGAATAGTAATGGTAAGATGGCTTTGTTTTCTCAAAGAACTGGGTTTACAAATGCCTTGGGATTGTTGTCACTGAAAGCTTGGGAAGCTTACGTGCTGAAACACTGACCTAATTACAGGGAGAACAGGTCTTAACAGTCTCTGGGTTTCATAAGGGGAAATCCTGATTCCCACCCAGCTTTCAGTAGCAAAGAACAGTCCAGTGGAGCAAATAGTACATTCCTCATGCTCACTGCTTTATTTGTGTCAAATGATATCTTTGTTTTCTAGGTCATATGCTGCTGAACTTAAGCCATGGCAAGCAAGACTTCTTTAAAGAGATTGTGGAGTCGTTTGCAAACAAGAGTGGATTGTTTACGTTGTTCGATAGCCTGTTTGAGAGTGGAGCTTCTAGGGAGAGATCTTTCATTGGCACAGATGACATTGGAAACATCAGTGCACAAGCACCAGTGCAAGTGGAGCTTAATAAATATGATATTGGTAAGAGGTGTTAGTTTCTGAAAGGCATCACAGCTCTTCTGCAAGAGGCATGTGCCTTGAACAGCTGTCCAGAGTTGCCCTAATGTCCTAGGAAACACTTAGACTTTATTGCAAAGTAAAGAAGTGCTTCTGGAATAATTCCTTAAAGATTTTTGGAGAAATAATAGGTTTGCTAAAATGAGTTGCCTGTTGGACTGAAGTTGAGGATGGAAGGGAAGGAAATCTGAGAGCCACCCCCTGAGAAGTTGAAGGGGTTGATAGCTTTGAGCACTTAGCCAAACAGATCAAGTTGATCTATCCTGAAGTTTGTAATCACTCATAAGTGAAAGCTGGAATGTCATGCTCATTGGTCTGTGAAGTATATCTGGCTGCTCTGACAGAGTGAAAGGTGAAACCCAGCTTTGATCAGATAGGAGTCTTGATGCTTTGTAGGAAGTTGACATTTGCATCCATCCTCGTTTTTGCACAGGTGCAGTTCGGATGTACAGTGGCAGCCTCCAGCACCTGGTGTGGCTTGGCCTGCAGTGGAATTCCATGTCAGTCTTACCCCCAATTCGCAAATGGTTAAAACAGCTTTTTCACCTGCCCCAGGAAACATCAAGACTTGAGACAGATGCTCCTGAATCCATTTGCCTTTTAGACCTTGAAGTAAGTAAACTTTCCAGGTTCTTTAGTGTATTAGACAAATGAAGATTTTTTTGGGATTTAATACCTTTTATTTTTATAAAACCAGGTATTCCTGCTTGGGGTGGTATTCACTAGCAACTTACAGTTGCAAGAGAAGTTTAATGCTCACTACAGTGCACATCAGCCTCAGTTCTTACCATTGCCAGTGTGCAAACAACTCTACACTGAGAAGCAAAGATCCTGGTGGGATGCTGTTCGTACTCTCCTTCAGAGAAAAACAGTGTAAGGCTTTTTTCAGTTTGGATTGGTCCCAGGAGATCCTTGTAAAATCAGTTGCTCTGGACATAGAATCATAGAATCAACCGGGTTGGAAAAGATCTCCAAGATCAAGTCCAACCCTACTGTGAGTGCCATATCCAGTCTTATCTTGAAAACCTCCAGGGATGGTGAATCCACCACGTCCCTGGGCAGCACATTCCAATGCCTGAGCACTCTCTCCACAAAAAATTTCTTCCTTATATCCAACCTAACCCTCCCCTGGCGGAGCTTGAGTCTGTGCCCTCTTGTCCTGCTGCTGGTTGCCTGGAAGAAGAGACCAACCCCCACCTGACTCCAACCTCCTGTCAGGGAGTTGCAGAGGGTGAGAAGGTCTCCCCTGAGCCTCCTCTTCTCCAGGCTGAACACCCCCAGCTCCCTCAGCCTCTCCTCATGGCACTTGTGCTCCAGTCCCTTCACCAGCCTCGTTGCTCTTCTCTGGACCTGCTCCAGCACCTCAATGTCCCTCCTGAGCTGAGGGGCCCAGAGCTGAGCACAGGATTGAAGGTGTAAGGGCATGTTCCTCACCAGCACAGAGTCCAGTGGCAGAATCCCCACCCTGGTCCTGCTGACCACACTGTTCCTGATCCAGGCCAGGATGCCATTGGCCTTCTTGGCCCCCTGAGCCAGCTTTCTGTCTCTCCAAACTCCCAGGTCCCTTTCTGCCTAGTGCTCTCCAGCCACTCTGTCCCCAGCCTGGAGCTCTGCATGGGATTGTTATGGCCAAAGTGCAGGACCAGCACTTGGTCTTGTTAACCCTCATCCCGTTGGATGTCCCAGTTTGGACATGGAAGCTTTATTGTAGTAGGGGCTTGAAAAGTTTCTAAAAATGGATTCTTTATTTCCAGCAATGTTTTTTTAGAGGCAGTTAGGACTAGAATTGGGATGTCTTCATCATGGAAAGGAAGGTTGGATGAAGCCTTGAGCAACCTGGTTTAGTGGGAAATGTCCCTACCCATGGCTGGGGTACTTGAGGCTAGATGATCTGAGGTCAATTCCAACCCTTAAAATTCTATGTTTCTATGCAATGATACATGAACAGATGTAAAGTAGCAAATACTAATCGAGGAATGTTTCTTCTGATATTCAGACCAGGAACAGCAGCAAAAATGAGGCTTATTGTGCAGCATGGAATAAGTACTCTACGAACACTGGAGAAGCATGGCCTTCAACCTGCCTTAATTATACACTGGGCAAAAAGCCTGCAGAAAACAGTAAGCTGAGATTCTTTATAAGTATGTGGAAACCAAAGTGTTTTTTCTGTTATTTTCCAGACAATGAGCAGATGGGGGGGGGGAGTAGGGGATCAGGTGTGTGTTATTGAGAACAGCTGCTTATTTTGTCAGGCAAATTTGTTGTTCTAGTCACTCTATAAAGTACTCTTGTCATGAACTGTAGTGTTATTTTCTACATGTGTGTTCCTCTAGTTACTTTGCTTAGTGTCAGAGGAGGACTCTTTGAACCTTTGAAGAAAATAGGAGAAGGATATGTATGACCTGCACGTGGACTTGAATTCATTGAAGTAACTTGTTCTTCTGTTCTCTTTTCTCCAGGGGATTAACCTTAACTCTTTCTACGACCAGAAGGAATACATTGGACGAAGTGTCTATTACTGGAAGAAAGTTTTGCCTATGCTGGAAACAATCAAAAAGAAGAGGAGTATTTCTGAACCTATTGATCCTTTCTTTAAACACTTCCATAGTGTAGATATCCAGGTACAGATTGATTAAGCCAAGGCTGAAGTAAGAGAAGGTCTTTGTGAGAAACTTACATAGCTGGGAGATTTTTGTCTACATTGTATAACTCATGTTGTTATTACTATTGGGAGATTTGGTAATACCAGTGTTTGAGTAAGGGGGAAAATTCTTTCCTTACAACTTTAGTCTTAGCTTTCAAATGGTGTTTATGATTGGAAGGCACTGAACACACTTCCTTGAAAAAGATTTCTCAGTGTATAGGGAAAAGGTTGTGTCCTTCCATTATTAGGTATGACTTGTCTTTCACTTTGTGTAGGTCTTCCAGGTAGCAGCATATGAAGAAGAGGCACATATAGCATTTGCTATGTTGGATGCAGTTGATGGCAAAACTGATGATGCTTTATCAGCATTTGAAGCTATTAATAATGTGGTTGCATACTGGAATCTTGCCATGGTAAGTTTGTAAGTTGCATTACCTTGAAATGCTTTTCTTGATTCACTTGCCTTCTGAGGGATTGGAATTCATCTGCATCCTGTTCTTCAGATTTTCCAGAGAAAGGCAGAAGAGATAGAAAATGATGCCATGCTGCCAGAAGAACAAGAAGAGCACAAAACTTACCTTATTAAAACCCAGTATTACTTACTGAAGATCATTGAGGAAGCCTCCTCAGATGTGTCTGTAGCTGAGAAAGTAAGTAATTCATGCTTTAGGAACATATTTAAAGGCATGCAGTGGCTTAGGTTACTGTTGCTAAATGAAACCGTTTGCATTTATGTAATCGGCATTAGTGAGATCACACCTCGAGTAGCTCCAGTGTTGTTGGTCACAAAGGGACTTGTCAGTGCTGGTGGCACAGCTCAGTGGGAGCCAAGAGTGTGCACAGGTGGCCAAGGAGGCCAAGGGCATCTTGTCCTGGCTGCAGCAGAGTGTGGCAGCAGGACTAGGGCAGTGCTCATCCCCCTGCACTGGGCACTGGGGAGGTCCCAGCTCAGTGCTGTGCTCAGCTTTGGGCACTCATTGCCCAAAGGCCATTGAGGCACTGGAGCGAGTCCAGCCAAGGGCAACGAGGGCAGCAAAGGGCTGGAAAACCTGTGGGATGAGGAAGGGCTGAGGGAGTTGGGTTTGTTTAGCCTGGAGAAGAGGCTCAGGGGTGACCTCCTGGCTCTCTGCAACTCCCTGCCAGGGTTGGAGAGAGGTGTGGGGGATGTGTGTCCTGCCATGGCTGCAGGGAGAGGACTAGAGGGAATGGCCTTGAGCTGAGCCAGGGCAGAGTCAGATTGGATGTGAGGAGAAATGTTTTCCCTGTTGTGGTGTTGAGGCACTGGGATATTGCCCAGGGAGGTGGTGGAGTCACCATCCCTGGAAGTGTTGAAGAGGCATCTGGATGTGACACTGGAGGATCTGGTTTAGGGTTTAGGGGTTCCAGCAGTGACAGGTTAATGGTTGGACTCGATGATCTTTTACACCAGGTTTTACCTCTTTTACACCAGGCTTTGCATTAAGGTTAGTTAAACTTCCTGGCTCAAGACAAATCACTTGCTTAACAGCAGTGGGTTGATTTAACTCTTAGTAACTTCTGTAATCTGCCAGATCCAATACTATCCTGGCTACTTTCTGGATGAAAGGTTTAATGTAAACAGATGGCTTTTTCCACTGTGTTTTTATAGCTTTTGGTAGTTTGAAACGTGTGAATAGGTTTCTTACACTAATCTAATCTGATTTAGAGCTTTGCTGAATAAAAGTGTTGGTGTAATGAAAGCTTTGTGAATGGCTCATCCAGAGCTCTGACTCTGTCTGGCTCTGAGGGAGAATTGCCTTCATGACTCATGTTTCAAATAACTTCCTAGCTGCCAGTATCTCTTGAAACTGTGAGGGAAATGCTGGATACAGTGATCCAGGAGCTCGGTGAGAATGCTGAAGAGGGAAGTCTTGCCTTCAGAAATGGTCTGTCCCGAACTGTGGATTCAGTGATGAAACATTCCACTCCATCACCAGCTAAATTCTCTCATTCACCAACTAAGAGCTACAAGGTACATTAGCCAATTGTTATTTCAGGGAACTGTTACGTTTGAAGTAAAGTTCACAAGATTTAATTAACTTTTTTCTTTTTTTTCCCCCCCTAGTTTTCTCCTAAAACTCCTCCTCAGTGGGCAGAAGACCACAAAACCATACTTCAAATGATTTGTCAGCAAGTGGAAGCTTTAAAGGTAAACAATTTTGTCACCATATTGAGTGATGAGCAATTGGCATTTTAGTTATGGTAGGGATCAAATGATAGTAGCTTGGCCTAACTTACAGTTCCTAGACCATTCCTTAAATCAGTGCAATTTTCTGTAAACATCTGGCTAAAATGAGTGCAAGAATAAGTATTTTGCCTAAAAGCTCATATTTGGACTTTGGCATGTGTACAGAGGCAACCTGTCTTAGGACTGCATGCAGAGAGTTGTGCTTTCATCAGCTTGGTTCCCCTCCACGTGGCTCTGTTTTTTACTGGCTTGTTCTGCTTTAGGACACATTCCTAGTACTTTGTCCTGCATGGGCAGATCTTGCATGATTCTGGCAGGTGAGACTTGGGTTTTTTTTAATTCCCACCACCCCCAGGCTTGAACATGCTTTTAAATAGCAAAAGGGTAGGGATCATGCCTTATGTTTTCTTCTACAAGTACCTGTGTAATAGATACTTACACTCCTTCCTGGCCTGCTCTCTTGACAGAATGAAATGCAAGAAATGAAACTTAATAGTTCCAACTCGAACGCTTCTCATCGGTGGCCTGCGGAAAGCTATGGGACAGACACAATGCCAGACAGTTACCAGAGAGCACAAAATCTTCATGAAGCTCCATTAACAGGCAAGTTGCTGTGGAATTTTTATCTCAGTGCTTAGCCAAGTCAAGTAAGACATTTGGAAATAGTGGCAAAATGTTTGTGATTGACGGTTAAAACTGATTCTTGGGAAGAGTCTGTTCAAAACAGCCGTCACCAAAAAATCAAGTGTCAACTGTGTTCCTGGTGTTCCTTTTTAGTTGCAACCACTGGTCCATCTGTGTTCTACAGCCAATCACCTGCCTATAACTCCTCTCAGTATCTTCTTGGGACTGCTGCAACCAATGTAACACCGACGAAGGTGAGAACAAATCTGTTTGCTTAAGCTGCTTCCAGTGATCTCCTGTAAATGATTCTGTCCTGTTTTTGATTCTGTAAGTAGCTGGATGTAGCGTTTGGTGACCTTGAACTTCTAGGGATAAACTGATAATTTGTCTTCCTGCTTAATTTTTGGTCTAGTGTGTAAA